TCCGCGCAGGAGGCGGGGCTGCTGGGAGCGGGGAGCCCGGCTGCGCTCCGCGGTTGCTGGGGCAGTCGGAGTGGTGTTTTGAAGCTTTTTTTCGTATTTCGGGAGCCTGGAGCCTGTGGCAGGGTTTTCCCCACGGGACTCTTTTTCATATCATTAAAATAACCGGCAGTTACTTCTGGTGCAACTAGTAAAGCAGCATATCTGTTAGTTGCTTTGTTTCCTAGGGGTTTTTTTAAGCCTGAAATCCCATGTTTTCTACACATTGTAGGAAAAGGTGTACAGACTGCTGGAGTTCCTGAAATTCAAATGCGCTTCACCTTTTCAGTTCCCTTTGCATTTAATTGGCTATAAAAGCCTAAAACTTGATTATATTACATGTAAATTCCTTCAGTGGCCATGACAATGTTATTTTAAGGACAGAATATGGTTTTATGTCGCCCGTTGCCAGGAGCAAAGAGGCAGAAGGACTGGCATGTAGCAGCCATTATTTCCCTAAAATGATGAAAATGCTTAGTTAGGATAGAACAGTTAAGCTGTTCATCATGTAAATCTCAAAATATAATCGTGTTAATTCCAGTCAGTTATACAGGAATGTTGTTTTCGTTGATTCTTTCTGTTGTAGAAAATAGCACTCTATCACGGTCCTGCAAAATATTTTTGATCTGTGTAGGAGAGATCATCTCTTCTAGAGAACCAAGTGATGAGATGTACCTCTTGCTGCACAATACTTGAAAAGTTACTGTATTTCATTCAGAGAATGAACACTTAAGTTATGATGCATTCAAGTTCATCTGTTAGTGAACAGAAAGCTAAGGCAAATCACTGACAACTGATGTAGTCAGCCTGACGCTCTTAATGTTTCAGAAGAGTGCTGTGCAAAATATTAGAAAAATGCAGTAGTGATAAACTTCTAAGCTGTTCCTTAGGTTGCTGCATGGGAGTAGTGATGTGAAATTCACAGATGTAGGAAGAGTGCTGATCTTCAGATGTGATCAACCTAGCTTTTCCAAAAATAACCTGTAGAATTTTTTTAGCTTGTGCCTTTTCAGTTTACAGCGCTGTCAGTACAACTGAGGACAGTAAGACAGTAACTTCAGTAATGCAGTGGTCTGTAACCTGGTTCTTTAGCACTTTCTTGCTCTTTTCTGAGAGCAGATGATGACTTTGAATGGTGATGTACTGGGAGTAGACGTTACAGTAGTCAGGTCTGGTGCTACTGTAGAGATCTGGGTGCTGAAACCTTGCTCAAGGTCTGGAGTTACAAGGTAGACTACCCTTAGGTGGATCATCAGCCTGTGATTTCTTTCAGTCACGATTGTGGCAGAAATCAAATGTTTACAATTTTATATGCTGATGCTAATCCAAGTCTTTGGAGAAGTTCAGCGTTTTTATTTGTATTCTTCTGTTTTTTCTGAGGAGCACACAAATAATGACTTAACATGTGTGCACAGTTTAATCAGTGTTAGCTCTAGATCCATGTGACATCTGAAAAGCACATTTCACTCTGTCAATAACTTAAATCTTGCTGAGGTCTTCAAGACTACTTCCCAACACTGAAGGAGTTAATGTTACTAAGGATTTTTAGAATCTTTCACAGAGGGAGAGGTAGGCAACCTAAATAGAGGTGTCATGAGCATTCTGCCTGTGATATCAAGTTATTCTGTGCTATTATGGATGACCAAGTTGAGCACCAACAGTTTGTGTTAATAGCCTCTTATGCTTGAATATGTTTAAGGTGCGTTTTTAGTAAAACAATCTTAGATAAGGAGCTGCATCCAGAAGTTGAAGGAAAATGCTTGAATAGCAACTTGTGTGTGACAGAGAAGGGGGTGGGGGCGCTTTTCAGGCTAGGGAAGCACTGAAGTGTCTGTGTGTTACTAAGACCTGGAAAAGAAATCTGCCATTTGTCATTGAGATGCTTCTTCTGAAAGTCTTTCGAAACATTTCCCTGGATTCTAATGTCGTGCTTTATTTTATGAAGGGCTTGAAAGTTGTTCCATCTCTATATTTGACTTGGTATATGATGGGTTGGTTTTTTTGAGGGGATGTGTCGTTTCTTTTTTAAATAATTGGGGCCTCCTTTGGAAGAGTGCTGTGTGCTTGGTTAGTGTAGGGTTAAGAGGCTCTACTTAATTTGGTGTGTATTGTGTCTTATTGACAAACAATTTTAGGATTTGTTTGAGGATTTGGTAAAAACAAAATAGTTCATTGTATGTTGTTGTGAAAACATTAAAGTGGTCTATAAAAGTCTTTGAGATTATAAAGTCTTTTTTAACTATTTAAGAGCATTGTTTTTATGAGGCTAGATGTTCACAATGAAGAGGCTGACACATCCTTTTCCTAGTTATATGTGCATTGCAGCAGCTTCACAGGCTTGTGGTATCTTACTGTTATGTGCAGCTTTTCTGTTGAAAAGCATATTGCAAAGATGCATGCCTCAAGCAAATGTATTCATTGTTAGTTACATGCTTATAATCTTTTCAGATTCCTTTTATATAATTGTAGTTGTAAAAAATACTAAATATTATCCTTTTGAGGTGGGGAAGCACATAACTCCCAAGTGTGAATGTTTAACCTAACACAGTGCAATCCTGTTATGCTGCAAATGCATGGACAAATTCAATTCCTGTCGTGCATCCAAGCCATTTATTTCACATCTCATTTTTCCTATAAATATTCACAAAGGTTTTAGAACAACTGGTTAATACTTCCTGCTTATTAGAATCTTAAAAGGAAAATAATAAGTACTTGGAAGAACATGTTATTTTGACATAACACAAACATCAGTGGTAATGTTCACAAATTATTTACTTTTATTACAAGGAGATACTGAAGTAGTAGTATAAATTGCTTTCCTCAGACCCTGATTATCACCTAGCTCATAAAATACAGTGTTAAATAGCTGTAGACACATAAAAAAACAGATTAAATAGGGACAAAGTTGGGTGTTTTTGCTTAGTTAAGTAGGAAGAATTGACTGCTGGTAGGCTTTTTAGACATTAAAGTTTTGGTTAACTTGTAGGAAAAAAATACGTCTGTTGACTGTCTAGATTACAGCAGCAAGCTTGTCATAATGTTTTTTTGTACTGTGCATTGTGTGAAAACAGTATTTCAGTAGTTTAATATCACAAATTTAAAAAGTAAAAAGGAAAAGGCTAGAACTACTAATTCCTGCATTGTTCTGTATTTCATGTACACTAGTAACTGTACTAAGTAAAGCTTATTTTTTTCCCTCCTCCTTCAGAGTTCACAATGACGAATGAAGAACCTCTACCAAAGAAGGTATGTTGAAAAATACTTGTGACTTCCCCTCCACCCCCACCAGGTAGTCATGACAGCCTGTGAAGTTGTGCTTTTCCTTTTGCTCTATAGGTTCGCCTTAGTGAAGCAGATTTTAAAGTTTTACCTAGAGACGAGCTCATCCTAAGGTAAAGTAAAAAGCAGTTTTTCCATCTGAGCGTTTTCGTGAACTTAGAATGGAAGATGTGTGACCTCCCTCTTCCACTGTTTTTAACATCTTTCTTCTGAAAAAAACTGTTATCCTCTTTGTGATACATCTTTCTTGTAAAGTTCTAATTTTGTCTCAAAGGTTATATATAATTTGGGGGGGAAAGACCTTTTCCAAAGGGAGAAAATCCTGAACAATATTTTGTGGGAGTTACTTTCTTCACTGGTAACATTAGGAGATATGGTTGCTTACATTCCTTGCTAGATAGCAAGTTATTTTTAAACATCAGAAAAATGTTATTTCTTTACTCTTACAGCAAGTTTTTTTTTCTTAGTTCATACCATTGTCTTCTCAGCATGTTCAGATATTAACAGTAAAATGTTAACATTAATTTTTCATCATCTAGAACTTGAATAAATAAGAGCCTGGTCATCTTTTTCACCTTTTTGAAAGCTAAGTGTCACAATGGAAAAAATAGGCAATCCTGTCATGCAGATCACCTGCTTAAAGAAATCAACCTAAGCAACTTGTCTCTGTATACCTGAATTTACAGATTTGTTAATAAGAATCTAGCAAAGCCAGGTGTCTCTGGGTCATCTGTTTGTCTGCTGGAGTAGTTTGTGTGTGTGTTTTGGTAAACTTTAGGTCTTGGCTTTTTGTACATTGTAAGTTACTAGCATTATTAAGGTCTTTCAAGTCAAGTATTGCTATTTCATAGAACAAAGACAAAACTGTGTGGAAACATTAGAATACAAATGTAATACTTAATGTGTATGATCACTCTTCCGGGCAAACTATAATGCCATCTACTTCTGAAGTGACAGTTCTTTATAGGAGAGTCAACATAGTCTGGCTCTGTATGTTTAAAACTGGTTTCTGGCTTCCTTTGAGTATGTAGTCTTTTGGGTATTAAAGTATGATGTATTTACACACTAGGAAAAAATGCTGCTTTGATGTTAAGTGGTTTATGTCTTGTGAAAGTTTCTGTACTCAATATTATCCCTGGAAATAACAAAGTCCTGCGAAGTCTGTAAAGCTATGGCTGCCCTTCCAGCTATAAAATTCCTATCCAAGTACCAAAGCATACGTTCTGTGCCACTTTCTTTTTTATTAAGTGTGGAAAAAAAGACATCAAGCTGTCATCAGTTTCTGTAACTTGCAATGATTAATTGCTACCATAGAAGAGATGTATTTCCAGCATATATTCAAGTGAGAATGTGATGGAATCCACCCAGGGAAGTAGAGTATGTCAGCAGCTAAACTGTGTTAATAGATGGAAGGAATTCACTAATGACAGCTGTGTTGCTATTGAATCTTCTTAGTGTAGACAAAGCAACTGCTGCTGTCAAAAAGGCTACCTGATTGATTTAAGGAGTATAACTGTCCATTATACCTCTAAGTAGAAACTTAAATGATGTTTTGGCCATGTCCATTTTGTTTGCATTAAGCAGTCCTAGGAACAGTTTTTTCTTTGTATGGGATGCATATTTAATGGATTTTATAGTAAGTTCACCTTTATCAGGTAGTGTGGTCGATGTGCTGGAGGGAAGGGATGCCATCCAGAGGGACCTGGGCAGGCTTGAGAGGGCCTGTGCAAAGCACGTGAAGTTCAGCATGGCCAAGTGCAAGGTTCTGCACGTGGGTTGGGACAATCCCAAGCACAAATACAGGCTGGGTGGAGAATGATTGAGAGCAGCCCCAAAGAGCAGTACTTGAGGGTGTTGGTTGATGACAAGCTCAACATGAGCTAAAAATGTGTGCTTTGCAGCCCAGAAAGCCAACAGTATTCTGGGCTGCATCCAAAGAAGAGTGGCAAGCAAGTCTGGGGAGGTGATAAACATCCTAGTCTGCTCTTGTGAGACCCCACCTGGAGTACTGTGTCAAGGTCTGGGGCCCCCAACATAAGTGGGAAATGCTTTCCTACTTAGTTGAAGATGTGCTAGTAGCAATTTTCAAATTTTAATTCTGATGTAATTGGGGGCAGGGATAACTTCTGTTTATATAAATTATGTGGTTTTTTTTAAACATACTTCTTTTACTGGACTCTAGAATGTTTTTAGGGGCAAAAAAATATTTTCCCTGAAGAGCCAGTAAAATGAACTTAGTGGGAAAACTTTAGAAATATGTAAACTTTAGGAATGCTATTTGTATGGAAACTTTAGTTATTTATCAGATCTCTAATGCGTTCTGGTGTCTTATGGTGAAGGTGCATGCTTTTGCGCAGAGGATTACAGTATTACTGGATACATTTTGCATTAAAGTTTTTAACTGCATCTGAAGTAAAGATATACACTGTGGTGTGGCATGACATCTGGGAGTTTGACTTTTTCTTAACAGTTTCCTGAGAGCAGTAGGGTTGAATGCAGGCCTCAGATCATACTTGCCTGTGTGTGTGGTTTTTGTGGGCGAGGTTTTTTGTGGGTTGTTGTTTTGGTGGAGGTTTTTTTGTTAACTTGTAACTGAACCCTTGGAGTTTGCTGGAGCTATGCTTGGTTGCTGGAATTTTTGTCGTACTACATCCACTGTTGTATTAGCCTCAGCTTCTGATGTCTAGTTGCAATAAGGCATGGCTGAAATTCCATTACTAGCCATCATTACAACATTCCACAAACTTGCTGTTGTTGTCACCTCTTTCAAGCTTTGTGTGAAAACTTAGCATATGGATTCCTGTAATGGGAATGCAGCCTTGCATGTCAGCAGCTGGGAGTCCATATTACTGAAAAATTATAGAAGCAGCACTGTTGTGTGTGGATATTAACTTTTACGAAGTAAGACCAAAGTCGTGCATCTGGAAACAACGCCCTTTTTTTGTTCAGGTAAATAGAAGTTTTCTGTGATAATCATTCATTTAGAGAATGGTGTTAGAGACACAAAAATTATTCCTGTAGTAATTTGAGATCTAGAAATAGAGTTTATACCAGTCCTGTTTGATCCTAGTATTGTCTGTTCTTCTCTACCAGTATAGACATACTAAACAGAGAAGAAGGAATAAAATAAACTTTAAATCCCTCTGTTAATGTGTGCTACTACTGTAAATAAGGGAAAATGATCAGAGTGAAATAAGCTGGAAAGACAATGTTTAGGAAAATAGATTTTTAAAGGCACCAAGAAGAAAAGCTACTACAAGAGGAGGCTAAGAATTCAGAAATTATAGAAGGCGTTTAAAGTCTTAAGCCAGTTAATAGATGCGTAAGTGAAAAATAAGTTACCAGGGTTGTCACAAGACTATTTTTTAAATACCTAAAACTAGTCAAAGTGAATACATAAAGAAAACAAAAAATCTTTGTTCTGCCTTTGGTTTTATGAATGTTCTTCAGAAAGTTTGTTTTTTGTTGAATATTTTGGCATGTTACCACTGAGTAAATATATGCACATCAAATGAAGTATCAGAACTACAAGTTTGATTGAAAGGAATCTAAGGGCTTACCAATATATTTGCTTATTTTCATGAGCTGAAGTAATTTACAATAATTGTTTACTGCATTAATGTGAATGTTTTTCAACTTGCTGTTAGTCTGTTTAGTTGTCTGGTTCAATTATTTTTTTTTTAATCAGTCACATGAAAAAAGTCACCTTCTGATTTTTGTCTCTCTAGTTACTAGCTTTCCCATTTGCCTGAAATGAGGTGAAAAATAGCTCAGTTGTTAGAAAATTTCTTCTGAGATGTTCTGTAGTTATAGCAAAATATCGATAATGCAAGTGTGTTAAAGCAAAGCTACTGTTTTAGAAAAAGTTCCAAGTTTTAAAACTTAGTTTGCTTATTCTCAATTTGACTATGTCGGTGTGATCTTCACAAGTTTATTTTGTACAATTTTGTAGTGTTCCTTGAAGATTAACTGCAACAGTCTTCAGCAGGTTTTTGACAAAGCATGTCTGTAGAGTCATGTTTCTAGAGTTGGCAAGTACATGACTTGAAAAATCCTTAGCATGATCAAGTACACTCCGGGTTGTTTTTTTTCCAGCTAATCTTTTCTTGTTTCAATACAGCAGTTGTTGAGAGGTAACTTAGAGGTATCTTGGTGGCCATGGGCTACATGATGGGGTTTTTTGTGGGTATTTTTTCCAGTGGTGTTCTGTAATGTCTACCTGCCTTGTGTTTCAGGTCTCCATTTCACTTGTTCTTTGTATAGCTCCTATTATGGAGGGTGGGAAGAGAGGACGGGTGTCACAATTTTGAAAGAATTATTATTTTCAAGCTGTGAGTTGAAACTTAGTCAGATACTCCTGGAGCTGTATTTGAAGACCAGCTCTTTTGTTTAATGAAATTATGTAATGTAAAAATTAAGTTATTTCTTTCTGGGTTTACTATTTAGTAGACTGTTTCAGTTTTACTTTCTAGCAATTACAATCTCCTGAACTTTGTGGTCCAACAGTGAAGCTTATGTTTCTACCCTTTTTGAAGCAGAGAGATAAGTTTAAGGGTTAAGTGGGAATACAGCTGCTCTCTTCTGTGGAATTTAAGAGAGTTAATTCATGCCAACTTCATGTTCACCTGAAGAGTTGCAAAATTTTGTTGCTGCTAGAAGGAGGAGATCTTGTGCTTACTTTTGCTTTTTAATGATGTGGTCTCACTCGCTGTTACAGATCTGTTTCATTTTAGACCCTTTAACAAGCAGTTTGAATTCACTAAATAGTAAAAAATTATCTAGTTAGATGTTACAGTTTTGACTGAGATAGTGGTAGTGTGGGTTAGGGAGTTAAAATAGAGCAGTTATAATGAGTGGCATAAAACAGTTGTCTGGGGAAAGGGTAGTTGGGAGAAGGGTAGTAGAAACCTTCCAATTCTGCAAGCTATTTAGATTTATTTTTTTCAGAATGTGGAATTGTTTTGTTCACAATATTACAGTCAGTTTTAGGATGTCAGTTTTAAGTGTTGTAATGCACAGCTACCTTTTATACTTTTGAGATGCAAAGTTGATGTAACTATTTTCATTATTAAAAGCCCCTTTTAAAAACTAATTGTCTTTTATGCAGTTGGGTAATTCTCTTTCGATGTTTTCACATTATGGTATGAATGTATGCTCTGAAAGTTTAGGAATGAGATGCCTTGATTTAATAAATTGAGCTTCAGAAAATTTTTTTCCTTTTCATCTCTGCAATAGGTGGAAACAATATGAAGCATACGTGCAAGCTCTGGAGGGCAAGTACACAGACCTTAATTGTAAGTTAGCTGAGTTTCAAAATGGTATGGTTACCTGAATGTTTGTACAGAGTGTTCAAGTAATGTCTGTGCTTTCTAAAACTGTTAGAAATCAGAGATAGTTATAACCTATAGGTCAGTTATTTGTCAGAACAAAATTCCCTGTTCTTTCTAGTGTAATTTTCAGCCTTTCCTAACTTTCTCAGCCACTAATTTTCTTTTGCAGGTCTTACACAGCTTCTAAGAAATGTATTTTTGCATCTGTAGGGACCATCTGCACCCAAAATTTCAAAACATAGCCCCACAAATATGTGGGGAACATTTCCATTAGAAAGAAAACATCTACCAAAATACTCTGTGATTGTGTCTTCAGTAGTCTAACAGGATTGTAAACTACATGGGAAAGTGAGTAGTTTGTAGAGGTCAAGGTCTAAAATGAGTCCCCAAGTAATATTTTATTTCATTAGGCAAATAAATTATTTGATTTTCAGTCTTGTGGTCTTAAAACTTGGTCTATATTCCAGTATTGCAAAAGAGAATACAGGAAAAACACCCTCTCAAATTGGAAAAGCTGGGCATGTTCTGGAAGTGACTGAATTACCAATCCTAAATCCTTACTTTTAAAAGTTGTGTTAGGAGCTGGAGATGGGCTCTTTTCTATTTTCCACTCAGTCAAAATACTTAAAAGACTTAGTACCGCTGAATTTGGCGGGTATTTTTCTTTCAATCCAAACAGATGCCCTCTTAGGTGTTACATCCCTCTTCTATTGCCACCATGTTGAATTTTGGAGAAACTGAAACATAGCAAATATAAGCAGCTGCTTTCATTCTAATCTCAAATTGCCCTAACATAGATAAGTAAATTGTTATAACACTCCCAGTTTTGCAGCTTTGGAAACTTCCAAGACAGGCTGGAGTAATTGCTGTTACTGAAATATCTGCTAAGAATAAATTGTTTAGAAATAATTGTCGTGAAGCTATTTGTGATGTTCCTAACTTACATTTACAGCCATTTTTTTTTCTCAAGTAATTAGAAAAAATATAAATGTTAATTATTCCAACTTTCTATCATTTTATACAGTAACAGAATGAATGTATGCTGTTTATATCAGTCTGCTTGCAAGTGTTCCTGTTTGAGTAATTAGAAAATATGTTAGTTTGTCTTCTCATATTTTATATATTAACTTCCATAAATGGTCATAGAATTCTAATTGTGACTGAACTGTGATTTCTGAAGTTCTCAAATGTCTTATGGTTTACTGACGAAGTGTTGAGACCAGTTTGAGAATGATCACAAATGTCACTGTTTTACTGACTGTGGATCACTTTTTGCCAGAGTGCAGGCTTCCCCTCCCCAGTACCCTTGACCTCAATATTTCTTACAGATAATAGGACAGTTCCACCTTTGAGTTGGAAGTAGTAATAGTTGGTTAAAAAGCAATTAAAAAGTTGCTTCCTATGTAAACATGGCAACACTTTCAAAAAATCTCATCTTAAGGATCAGAAAGATTTATTTAAAATCAGCTGTTGTCAAGCTTTTCTAATACTTCATAATATTTTATCTTAGTTATGAGTGAGTTACAGTTATTTTTATTGTAGTCATGCTTATTTGTTACTCTCCTGTTTATTAATTTGGTTTTTAGATTTGCAGCTCTCTTAAAAAACCTGAGACCATGCTGTAAAATGCTCTTTTTGTGTGTTATTACTTCTATTAGCTAATGATGTGACGGGATTGAGAGAATCTGAAGAGAAGCTGAAACAGCAACAGCAAGAGTCTGCCCGAAGAGAAAATATTCTGGTGATGAGGCTGGCAACTAAGGAACAGGAGATGCAAGAGTGTACTGTAAGTATTTAGAGAAGATAAGTGTTTTCAGCCTGTTACAGGAACTTTAGCTTTTGACCCAGTACCCATGTGCTATGTTTTGTAGAAATCTATAGCATCACATTTTCTGTGCTTAAAGAAATGGTAGGGCACCTAAACTTCCACTGAATTAGTAAAGATCACTTCTTAGAGCTTGCTTTTTAAATACGAGTTGTTTCAGTTGATTTTCAGCAGCAGTTGTACTTGGAAGCACTTTGCCTCAGAACGAACTTAATTCTTGCATGAGCTATGCTTACTTTCTTCTAGCATTTATCAACTGTGGATATTTACAGAAAAATGTTACTTTGCACTATCACTAGGTTCAGTAACAAACTGAAACATAAGGGTACGATTGAGTTTACTGGGTTTCATTTAGGAGGTTTTAGGCTGGTATTTACATTGGTTTTGTGTAGCAAGATACTTGTAAGCATCTGCTAGGTAAGGGAAAGAGCTACTGAATTTCATAAAGTTATTTTGAAATTGGGCAGACCTGCTTACCGGGGTTTCTAATGTTCTTTTAGTGAATACTGTTTCTGTTTTTCTCCTTTATATCTGTGGGTATTCTGTGACTTTCTCTTGTGTTTGGATTTGGTTTCTTGAGACTTCTATCACTTCTGGACTTAGGATTTTTTTTATTACCTTTTAAACATAATTTTCATCTGCCGCTTTAATTTGGCAGTTCCTGAGAGAAGAGTATAAAAGCTGCTTATTTGCTAGATTCTGTAATATGCTTCTGAGAGATTGTCCTATGAGAAATATGAGCTTTTTGCAAGACTAAAAACTAGCATTGTAGCTTTCCTCTGTTTCCTTTTATGTGCCTTCCTTTCTTTTTTCCTGTAGGTTTTCAGAGCTGTCAGGTATAGTAGGGTGACAATTCCATACACATTATTTTCACTGCTCTTCAGACCAGAAGATTACCTCAGTTTGTGGTAAGCACTGGTATGAAGAGGGCATGCAGCTTGCTTTGCAGTGGCAAAAAATTAATCACAAAGGCTGGAAGGAACTTGGAGTTTGTCTAGTTTAGAATCCCTGCTGAGAGCAGGGTTGGTTGGACAAGATGACTAAGGGCCCTGCACAGCTGGGTTTTGGGCATCTCCTGGAATGGAGATCCCAAAAACTCTGGGTGACCTGTACTAGTATTCAACCACCATCACAGCAAAAAGCATTTTCTTGCATTTAAGTGGAACTTCTATGTTTCAATTTGTGCGCATTACCTTCTGTGCTTTCAGTGGGCACCACTGAGAAGAGCCAGACTTTGCCTTCTTTACTTCACACTTAAGGTATTTATACTCATTAAGATTTCCCTGAGCCTTGTCTTCTCCAGGTTAAACAGTCCTGGTGCTCTCTGCCTCTGTCAGATGCTCCAGCCCCTCAGTCTTCATGGCCATTCGTTGGCCTCACCTGAATATGTCCATGTCTCTCTTGTGCTGGTGAGCCCCAAACTGGACCTGGTACTCCAGATGTCTTGACAGTACTGAGTGGAGAGGAATGATCACCTCCCTCCACCAGTTGACAGCGCTCCTATTGCCTCCCGGGATGCTAATAAAGATCTGTTCTGATATTATAGTTCAGCACTTCCCTAGTAGTAAGACTGCCATATTTATCTTGTTTCCTTGTTTTACTGATAAATTCTGCTATGAGGAGCAGCAGTAATAAGAGGGTTGTTTTTTTTTTTCTTTTGAACTTAGGAGCACATAGCGGAAACAATAAATTACAAAAAAAAATAAAACTTTAAAAGTGGAAGTTTTTAATCAAAACCTAATTTATGTGTACTATTTCCTCCCTTTTTCTAAAAGAACAAGTTAGAAAAAAATTTCAAGTAGTTATGACCATGAATTTTGACAAGATAATGAAGAATGTAGGATTTTTCTTCTTTACAGATGTTTATTGTTGTGATGTATAGGCTTTCCAGAACATCTGTTTAGAAGAATTTCTGAAGAGGTTTTAAAAATTTCAGTGTATTTAAAGAAAAAAAAAACATGGTGGAAGGACTTATCAAAAGAAAACAAAAATCACACATGTGTAACCAAGCAACCAGTATTTTTCTAGATATTGACACATGAATAACATCAAGGATGTAATCTCCTCCATAGTGTGTGAGAAGATGCATCCTTGACGAAGATGGGTGAAAGCTATAATGTAGACATTCACACCTAAGTGTTTTCAAGTTAGGATGCACATAGTTTCATGAATCTCTGGAGGACTACTTGGCTTCTTATTACTAGATTGTAATTTTTTTCAGTAATGTGTAAGAGTGGCAAAATAAATCATACAATGTTTTGATTTGGAAGGGACATTAAAGATTATCTACTTCCAACTCCCACTAGACCAAGTTGTTCAAAGCCCTGTCCAGCCTGACCTTGAGCATAGGGGAGGACTTCCACAACTTCCTTGGGCAACCTGTCCCAGTCTCTCACCACCCTCAATAAAGAATTTCTTCCTAATAACAAATATAAATTTATCCTTTTTCAACTTGAAACAGTTCCCCCTTGTCCTGTCACTGCATGCAGCACAGTTCTTAACAATGAGCAGCTGAGGGAACGGGGGTTATTTAGTCTGGAGGAGGATGAAGGGAAACATTATGGTTCTCTACAATTACCTGAAAGGACGTTGTAGTGAGGTTGGTCTCTTCTTCCATGTAACTGATGATAGGTGAAGAGGAAATGGCCTCAAGTTGCACCGAGGAGGTTCAGGTAGGATGTTAGAAAAAATATATTTCAGAAAAGAGTGGTCAGGCATTGGAACAGGCTGCCCAGGGAAGTGGTGGAGTCACCATCCCTGAAGGTGCTAAAAAAAATGTGTAGACATAGCACTTCAGGACATGGTTTAGTTGGATGGTGTTGTTGGGTTGATGGTTGGACTTCATGATCATAGAGATCTTTTCCAACCTTAATGATTCTATCTGATGGGCTGTTGAAAAATACCAGCTAGTGTGTGCTTTAATGTTTGGAAATATGAACAGCCATTAGACACTTCAGTGTCAGAGGGGGCATGTCCTGCGATTTGACATTGGACATAACTATTCCTGTGTATTCAGCTCTGGACTGAGGCTGGTTCTTACTGTGGGCATATTCTTCTGCTCCCCACTGCCTACCACCTGAAATATCAATGGGAGGAGAGATGTGCTTAGAGGGGGCAGAATGGGAGGTTTGGACTGGCTAAGCAGGGAGATGAATGGAATAAGGAAGTAGGCAGAAGGGTTAAGAGATATGGGCTTACTTAGGCGTGGGTCATTTTGGGTGGAGGCTGTTAGATATGGGTGGATGAGAAGCCTGACAGGTGAAGAGTTGCAACTCAAGAAGGCATTTGTGGAGGGATGGAGAAGTTTGTGTTGAAAAAGCTGGAGGAATAAAGGTCTTTAATTTTGGGGAGGGAATGAGTAAGGGTTCTTAAGCTTGAGTAAATTCTTTCTATGCTGCTGTTTTAGGAACAACAGCTGATGTGTTACGTGGGGGCATATTCAAGTGGTCTGTGGTTGCCTAGAAGCATAAGCTAGAGACACCCAAATGAGACTGCTAAATGGCTGACATTTGACAGAATCAGCTGGATCCTCTTGAGAGTGTAATTACGCCTTTATGGCATGAGTGAGGAGCAGGTGGCAGCAATTCTTTGTGCTACTGGTCCAAGAAACCTGTTGCAGTTCTTAGTCTGGCAGTAGAAGAGGGAGGGAGCTGGATCAAGGTACGGCAAGGAACATGGTCTTTTTTTCCCCTCAGTGATGTCTGTATAAAAATAGGTTGGGAACCATGTTGCTGTATATTCCTGGAATATGTTGCCAGCTGGAGTGTCTGTATGCAGACATCTGTTGAGCTAGGTGTTAAACCTTCTACCAGTGCTAACCTTCACAAAGAACTGACAGGTTGAAATGCTTCCAGTAGTGCATGTGTTAGGAAGTTGAGTAGAAAGAAATATAAGATATATCAATATAAACAAATTACATAAATATTTATTCAGTGAGCAACATCTTGTGCATTCAGTGAGGTAAAGGACCTGTAGGAGTAAAATGCCATCCAAGAAATATTGGAATAATTTAATTTGGACTTCCTGCTTCTAAGTGGTGTTTGTAGGTGGGTTCTTGAGTGCTTAATTTCTTTAAAATATTTTTATGCAGTGCTTTATTCCCTATATATTTCATTCTGAACACAGAAAAATTTGTCCATTTGAAATTTAAAATATTACGGATATTTTAAGTTTTGAAGTATTTTTATAATATTAATGTGGAGTCAATGGAAGTATTTTGGTAATTTCGATAACTTTGAAATAAAGTTTAATAATTGTTGCTACTTAATATATAAATTAAACCATGTTATCAAGTGACTGAGGGTTCTACTGCATGTTTTTAAGGTAAATAGAATGTATTTACACATAAATGGTGAATAATAAGTATAACGTTTTCTTGTAACAGAGTAACTGTATAAACAGGTAAATGGTTAAAGTGGCAGTGCTTTTTGACTGTGCTGCTTGTCCCAAGTAAAGCAAAGTGTGGAGGGAGACTCTTGTTCCCTCTTTTTTCTGTTGACATCTTGTACTGTTGATAGGTGAAACTGTTGATATCAAATCTGGTTGTAAGATTGTGTGTGTGCAGCAGGAGGCAAGCCCCTCCAACTCTCAATTACTGTTTCTTTTTTAACCTCATGTAATCTTGTTCACCTCTTTGCCAATGAAGAAATCTGTAGTATGTGGAGTATAATACATTGAACTTCAGAAAGAACACACTTCATTTAGGCTGATAGGATTTTAATGACAAGCCAGCTTCTAAATACACTGTTGAGTACATTTGAAGGTGGTCTGTTGTGATGGGATTAAAATACAAGAAACTTTAAAAAAAGTTAATCCTGTTTAAATACATAGAAGTTTTTATGAATGCTAAGTATAAAATAAATCCTCAGTTGCTCCTTCTGAAATTTTGACTTTTTTAAGTCTTCTGGGTTATAAGCTATAACATTGTAAATATTTTTGGTTGTGTTTACTGCAAGAGAAGCAAATTCAACCAAAAAAATGTTTTAATTGTTAATATTACTGAATTATTTTATTTAAAAATAAATATGCAGACTTGCATCATAAGTGTCTATCAGATTTACAAAAAGCCTTATAAAAGTTTATAAAAAACTTTTTTTAGTAGTTGCTTCAGAATACTACTTGCTAATATTGGCTCTAATGTTCCATAATAATTTTTACTGAAGTTACAGGAAGTTACTTGATTCTTTGTGTATACTTCTGCTTTTCCCTGAAAGACTGCAAGCATCTATAAAACAAAGGGAACACTGTAATGCTCCAACCATTGCTTTGACAAATGTAAACTAGGATGGAGAAAACAATTTGAAGCAGAGGGTTGTGTTGAGGGGGAAAATTGGCCTTGAAAGTTTTAAGCTTGGTAGGTGATGGGATGGGAGATGGGGTGTGAATATGCACATTGATAGGGTGCAGGTGGGCGAAAGTGATTTTTATCCTGCCTTTTTGAAGTAAGAGTCATTGAAAAAGGTCAAGGTTCCTTGATTCGAATTAACTTTTTATTTGTTTCTGTGTGAATTTTAAGATTTAATGTTGTATGAATAACAGTCTCTTTTCTTATTTTATGCAGAATCAGATTCAGTACCTCAAGCAAGTCCAGCAGCCTAGTGTTGCCCAACTGCGATCAACAATGGTGGACCCAGCCATCAACTTGTTTTTCCTAAAAATGAAAGGTGAACTGGAACAGACTAAAGACAAACTGGAACAAGCCCAAAATGAACTGAGTGCCTGGAAATTTACGCCTGATAGGTAAACAAAACAAATACTCCCCAGTCAAGACTTCCCTGACAGTCCCACTACGAGAATGCTATGGTGGGACAGCCAAGTACTCGTTTCCACACCAAGACTCAGACGTTTTGAGGCAAAAGCCACATTCTTATACTGTCCAGCTTGTAATGCTTAATGTAAAACTTACCAGATGAACCTTGTGTTTCAGCTTTTTTCTCCCCCTTTGCTTCAGAGGCCTGACGGCGTCGGACTATTCTGAAGAAATGGCCATCTTCGAAAAAAAATCTTTCCTAGAACATGTAGACATTTGCAAAATTGTTCTATTTGAAGAAAATAGAGGGAGAAACAGAAGTCTTAAGTCTGTGGCACACTGTGTCTACAGACAGTTTGGAGGAGAGAGAACATAGAGATTATAAATCATGAATTGAACATGTAAAATTCCCGTAAAATGTAGAAGTGGAATGTGCTGCACTCTTAACCTTGAGCCTAGTGACTTAGAGACACTAAGTCAGTTTTGCCAATAAGACTGTGGACTTCCTGCTTGTTCACTGAACTGCTGGGTCAAAACTTGATGAGGTGAATTTTGCATTAAAGAGTTTACTTGCTAACCAGTTTTGAATAGCCATGAGAGTGCTATTTGATATCACAACAGTGATAGTGTACACATTTGACTGTTCAGCTTTGGGTTCCCTAGCACTCGATGGAGCCTTAAGTCAATGCTGCTAATGAATGAACTGTTTTCTGGATGGTTGGTAATACTGTGGACACCTCAAAATTAGGACTGTACGAAAATGTACATTCGATCTAATTGCAGGTTTAAAATCGTTGGAAACAATATATATTTGATCACAACTAGCATGTAGAAGAAAAACTGGTTGTGACAAGTATTTTGCTGCATGTTTTCGTGCAGAAATGAGAATTTTTTGAACTTCTATACTAGAAACTGATCTCAAATGCTTAATACAGAAGGCACAAAATGGCAACTGTCTTCAGTGTTGGTGGGGTGTTTTTATTTGTTTGTACACCGTTTTTTTTGTATTGCACTTCTATATAAAATGTGCCTTGACATAGTTGTAATAGTTCAAGGAACACTACTGGTTATACTGTTGTATTGTGAAACTTGTGGGATGAACGAGAATTGAACAGGTTGTTGTTTCTGCATTGTCTCGTTCTCTGAAAATAAGTCAGTATTTTAACAGACCAAAAAAACCCAACAACTTTAAAGGCATGCATTTTCCTCGTTGGAATCAGCAAAGGAGCCCTTGCTATTCTCTTGATGCCGTTGTTCTGTTGTCCCGAGTTACTTGTAAGAGTAGTGATTTGGGACAGTTGGGAGTGGCATGTCTGAGGTGTGTAAAGTGAAATGCAGATTTGGTATAGCATTTGTGTGTTTATTTTTTCCCTTAGCAATTTAAGTACTATTAGTCATCTGAGGTTTTGATTTTTCAAAGCAGTTGGACAACCTCTTATAACTCAGTCTGGTCCTAGAAAATTCAATTTTAAATTAAAAAAGATACCAAACTGTCACAGAAGGTGGTGTATTCTAACTGTTTTGCTGACTTCTATTAAGATGGCATTACGTATTTTTAACTGGGAAGTATCTTAACTGTTGTGCTTCAGATGGTTATTATGGGATTGAAGAGTAGTGGACTTAATGCAGGTTTGTTTTTTTTTTTTGCGAGAGTAATGGCTTAACACCATAAGAAAAACCAACAGAAAAAGTTTACCTTTTAAAAAGTTATACATCTGGAATGATTTTGCTATAGCAGTATCTAAGATTTTAACGATCTAGCATCAAAACAGAGGTAAGACTTGCATTAATAAATTGTTAACGTATTACCAAGCCATTTGTAAAGCTCACTATAGTGTGCGGATAGAGGAATGCTGTTCAGATTGCTTTTTCAACTTGGAGTTCAGAAAAATTATTTAATACATGAAGATACAGGTTGGTTGTTAAGTCCTAAGTCTCTAAATGTGTGTGTACAACTAAGGAGAGACAAGTAACTTACCACTTTTCTTTCAAGAAAAACTATCAAAAGAAAATTGTTATTGCTGTAGCTATGACATACTCTGATGTGCACGATAAAAATTTAAGTCAGCAGTGTGAGTGTGCATTATTAACATGCAGTAGCTAGAATACAGAAAACTTAGTTTATTCCCTGCTGAATAATTGTGGCTGTCTTAACTGGGTTAAATTCTATTGATTTCTATTTTGGAAAGGTAAAGAGATGGTGACTTATGTAAGATTTATAGGATTTTTCATTGTCTTAGCATCCTGCCTTGCTCCACCCCTCCTTTAATTGCATTAATTGTCCATTCTTGTGTGCAAGTACTTCTATTTCATGACATCTGACCTAGTGTTTGGAAGAGATAATTTTCCTGTTCAGATCCTGAACTGGTGTTCTTACGGGGTAACATGTTAATTGCAATCCTAAGTAGTAATAGTTCTGGGCCTTAACCATAAATAGGGGTGTAATTGTTGATATTTGGAGGGAGAAATACAAAGGGTGTGTAATCAAAGGAATGGCTATGCTAGTAAGACTAGTACAACAAACTACTGGTCTTCTGAAATTTAACCACTTATATTCTTACAGGTTTTGTTGCATGTATGATCAGGAGGATTTGTGAAGACAATGCCAAGCTTAGTTTTATAGCTAGTAGGAGTTATTTTAATAGTTACTGAATTTTAAATTCTTGCATGTGTTTTGTTTGGGGGTTTTTTTTGTATATTGCAAGAGAATGTTACTTGGTGCCATACTAGGTCTGAACATCTGGAAAAAAATTCATGGGAAGAAATAGCATTATAGGTAACTATGCAAATTTCTATACAGGTAATAAAAAATTGACATCTTGGCAGGAGTTAACATGAAGAAATTATTGGGATTCTAAAATTGTCCCAATTCCAAGGTAACTGGTACTAATTCTACAGTTGACATTGTTTTGTGAAGAGAGAAGCATTAAGCACTGTGAACTTCTTCAACTTGTAGTCATGATGAATACAGTAACAGGAGTTTGCAAATTGCTAAAAATCATTGCATGTCTGCCTAATAACTTTTGGGTTATGTCACATTGGTTATCTCCAAAGCGGTCCTGCTTTACACAGAATGAACATCTCTAAGGAAACTTGCATCTTAAGTGTGCGACTTGGACTGTAGTAGGTCAGCACAATTTAAACTTCAAGGACCTGGCATTGGACATCACATCAAGAAAGAAAACAGGTTGCTGCCTTTAGCAGAGTTTCAGGCTTCCAGGACTTTACACTGCTTCTGGAGCAACCCATCTGAAAGATTTGGGAGATTCAGTCGGAAAATGTTAAATGGGGCAGAGTTGGCAGAACTTTAAAGTTTTCGAAGGCTCGAATACTTAAAAGGTAGTTGACAAGGAAATACTATTTTAAATTCTTCTGGTTGGGTATTTTGGTTGCAGGAGAGAACTGTAACTGAATTGTAGCAGAAATTTCCTGTTCTACCTTTTTAATCCTCAAAATTTCTTTCAGTCTTTGTCACTTGTTTAAAAGCAAACAAAAAAAAAATTAATGACCTTCTTGGTCTTGAAAAGTAATGCAAGTCCTACCATTGGATTCACAATAAACCTGTTCAAGTTTGGGTTGATGTTTTTTTGGTGGAGCTTACACTTCAGTAGAAAAGAGAACAGCTTCATAATGTAGCTAAGCCTTTTAAAGGAGAACCATTTGTAGTTGATATTCTGACTTTAGCAGATCAAGAGTCTTAAAGGACTTTAATTTTTCTCTTTTATGGAGTCAGCTGTATTGCCTATATATTAATTTGCATATTACTTCCTATAATGCTTTACAATGCAATTTTTATCATGAAGATTAAAGATGTGATGTTACCCATTTAGTAAAGAAAATCTTGTTAGTTAAAAACATTTTTTCCTACCTGTTTTTAGTTTCTTTCAGAAACTGAACATTACTCATAATCTGAAATCTCTCATTCTAAAGGAAGTAGTTTAATAGTATACTCCTTCCTTAATTCCCTGCCAATTTTTAACTGTTTCACTTTCTCCTCACCATGCACGATGTGGTTAGGTAAAGCTCATCATAGATATAATGAAACAGACTGTGTACATTACTGTCAAATACATAAATTTACTTGAAAAATAGACATCTTAATTTTTTTAAACAAGATACCTAGACAGCATTTGAAAGGCTGTCTAAGCCTCTTAAAAATGGATATAACTATGAAAAATAAACATATCATTTAATATTTTCCCCCAGGCAACTTTATTCTCTTCACCCAACTTTAATTACTAAGTTATACTACTACAATAAATGAAGATGGGTTTTATTGATAATTCAGTTTACATGTGTAATTTCTATGCAGCACTTGATCTTTTGAATTACAAGGCACATCTTTAATCGAATACTTAACTCCATTGAGAATTATCACATGCAAGATTGTGCATATTGGTAATCCAGATGTTGGTATCAGAAAAAGAACAAAATGCTTATTCATGAATATCTGCAGTAATAAAACTTCTGCTTTATGAGACAGTGACAGAAGATCGACTGAGATTGGAACACCACATGGTAACTATAGGGAGACTTTCTGCTATGACAATTACGTTGAGGCATAATGTTCCTTGAATTGTAACATGCAGAAATTGCATCTCCTTTTTGTCTGTAATTGTAATTGGGGAAGATTACTAAAGGTTTTATATTCATTTTGTGATAGATGGCTCTTTCCTTTGCAGCCAAACAGGCAAAAAGTTAATGGCGAAGTGTCGAATGCTTATCCAGGAGAATCAAGAACTTGGAAGGCAGCTGTCCCAAGGACGTATTGCACAGCTTGAGGCAGAGTTGGCTTTACAGAAGAAATATAGTGAGGAACTTAAAAGCAGTCAGGATGGTAAGGGATTTTTTTAAGAATATGGAAGTTGCCTTGCACTTCTGCTAGTTTAAATTCTTGGTGATACACATACTCTAAAACTATCTTTGCCAGAATTAAAAAGAACAATATCGAGTAAAACATGACAATTGTAAGGTTTCACTGGTAGTCTTAAGTTTTAAAAAACAACAAAACAAAAAATTAACTTACCTTTGGGGGACTGGTTGGGTTTGCAGCTGCAGTAGTGCAGCAGTGTTTGAATTTGAAATTGCCAGATTTCATACTGTAGGCCTTGCTTTTTCATAGGGAATCTTTGCACTGCACACATTACTGGTGACTTGGCAAGGTGAAAGCTGTTAACATTATATGAAGCTAAGCATGCACTGAAAAAAGAATGTTCTGGTTAACTCTGTCTCATTTTGGAATTATTTTTTTTAAAAATCAACTTTTTATCAATGCCTAAAAATAAGACTTTTTTTTTGCTTCATCTTATGTCCAAATATTACAACATCATAAACCTAAACTGAAATTACCTATAAACTCTGACCTCTTGCATAATTTAAATGGAGGGGAAAATACAAATAGTAAAAATCATCCGTTGAGAGTTCAGCATAGAATCGGTGGGGTCTTGGGAAATGAGCTATCTTGATATCACATAAAACTGACTGTTTTGAGTTTACAGCTGAAGCCTGTAAGATAGCATAGACCTGACTGGGCGTTATTTAAGTCTGACATTGCCTGTATTTTTAAGGGTAGATTTCCCCAGCATAGGGTCATATTTTTGAAAAGGTTGCAGTAAAATATATAACAACTAGAATTCTTAAGGTAAATTATTCTTTCTGTAATGACAAGTTGTTTGAATAGTTACCCTTTTACTTCTTAATAACTGTTTAGATAATGCGCTTATCTAAATTTATCAAGTTCATAATTGAAACAAGCATGGACATTCTTTAAAGATTGCTGCTCTTGAATTCAATAAAGTGTATTCCAGAACTGAGATGTGTTCTTAGCCCCTATTGCTTATTTCTTCTGTGAATGAAGATTATAATAATTCTGCAATAGGAGTTTTCCTAATTATTTTTTTTCATTACAGTAAGATCGTTTACATTTTATGAAGTTTTCTAATAATAAGCAGTTTGTATTTTACTGGCTCCATCATAGCAATGGTGCAGTTGAATTGAAGACTAAGGGAGACAGTCTTTTACCATTTCAGGTCAATTTTTTTTTTCTCCAATATGCAGTCCTAATTGTAACAACCTTTTTCTTGGTATATAAGTGCAAAACACCTTGTAGAATTAGTTAAATTCTGTTAGTAAGAGTCGTACTTTTGGTGTTCTGTTACACAGGATTTGAAGGATTAAAAAAAGAGCTGGAACTTTCCTGAAATGTGACTAAAATGTCTTTTTTTTGGTTTGTTTTGTTTTCACTGATTAGGCTCTTGTAAATATTCAGATCTGCTATATACAGACATAGTTTATGGTCACTTACAGTTTTTCTGCTAAGGTTTTATATTTGAGTAAAAGTAGATACATGAGGATGTAGTTGCAAAATATTAATTGTTGGAATTGAGCTGTTTTCCAAATAGCCTTCTTTCTTGCCCAGAAATTAATTTATTCTCATATGTTCTGAGTAGCAGTATAAAAAAGTATGCAGGTCATAGTTAAGCGTTTCCTCCTTCAGAGGCAGAGTATCAAAACTAGTGCATACCTGATGGCTGAAAAATTTCAGCATTAAATGTTGATTTTAATTGTTTTGTCTGAGATTGAAGCTTTATATGGGCTATTAAGTATTTGCAACAAATGTGTTTTCTTTATATAGAATTGAATGACTTCATCATCCAGCTTGATGAGGAGGTAGAGGGTATGCAGAGTACCATTCTAGTTCTTCAGCAGCAGTTGAAGGAGACTCGCCAGCAGTTGGCGCAGTACCAGCAGCAGCAGTCCCAGGCCTCCAATCCAGGTACCAGCAGGACTCCATCTTCTGAGCCTACAGACCAGGGAGAGGCTGTGGGTAAAGACTGCAGCCGTCTGGCAAACGGACCAAGCAATGGCAGCTCCTCCCATCAGCGGACGTCTGGGCCTGGATTTTATAGGGAGGGTAGCAGCACAGAAGATGACTTCCCGGCTTCTCCAGGGAATGGTAATAAGCTGTCCAACCACTCTGAAGATAGAACTGGTAGAGGAGGTGGTAGCTACATAAACCAGCTCAGTACTGGGTATGAAAGTGTAGACTCTCCCACTGGCAGTGAAAACTCTCTCACTCACCACTCAAATGACACAGACTCCAATCATGATCCTCAAGAGGAGAAAACAGTGAGCATGAAAGGTAACAGAACTGTGGGTTCTCGTCATGTCCAGAATGGTTTGGACTCCAATGTAAATGTGCAGGGTTCAGTTTTGTAACATTTTTCTGCAGCATTTTTATACAGTGTCATTTAAATTGGGAGAGGATACTGTCCAGAAGCCGTTTAAATTAGTGCATACTTGTCACAATTTTGCCTTTTTGTGGGTTTCTTTTTGCTTCAATACCTCTGCCACTTTGGAAATTTTAACAGTTAATTACGTTGGATGTTGCTAAAAGGACGTTTGTGTAGCTCAAGTTATTTTTATATGAGTTAATGTGAAGTTGAAATAGAAATTATTTCCATAAAGTATAACATAAATGATGATGTCTGTACAAATCTGTGTATATCTAGAACCTGTGCTGTGTAAGGGCATTCTTACTCATACTGTTATACTTACACCACCTTCAAGATTTGTCATAATAGCTGTGGGTTTATGACTGCCAAGTTTGCCCAGTACAGTAGTTTTATCACTAAAAGATGGACTTACTGAAGGAAGTCCTGTAGTAGTTTCAGTGTTAATTACAGTTTTTCCCACCATACATCTGTGCATTTTCTCCTTAGGTGACCGAATGTTTATGAATTGTGTGCATAGTTACTCAGTTTTTAAGAGCTGTTGTATCCTGTTTATGCATATTGCTCTGTGACTCCAATATTATCTTACCTGTACTGACCAAACCTAAATAAAAACTTTTAATAATGTAATTTTCTCATTGTTCTGCATTGGCTTACATTGATTATTTGTATGCAGTGTATTTATAGTACTTGCCTTCTTATTAAATGTGTTGTCTCACTCCTACCTGATACACCTTTTTCCAAAATACCTGAAGTTGTAGGTGTGCACTGTTCTAATAATCTTAGGCCAGCCTGGTAGTGCTTATTCTACAGGTTTTGTCCTTATCAGAAGATAAGGAAAAAGGAAAAAAAAAATAATTAATAAAAGTAAACCTTAGAGTTGGAACCTGACTTTTATAAAAGACTAAAAAAAAACCCAAATCCAACGAAAAAGCTACAAGTGTCCAACAGGTAAATACACAAATGAAAACTGCAAAACTTGAAGGAAGTAGTAATTCAACTTCTTAAATCTGAGAACTATTGTTTTTAAGTGCCTGCCTGAGGAAACTCACTTCTTAATAGGTGCAGTGAAGGAAAAAAATACCTTTAAGCATACTTCTATTGTTCAGTAGCAGTGAGTTGGGAATTTTTCAGACCCTGAATTCCTGGTGGTTATTTTCTGTCTGCTAGTTTAGTGATGATAGCACATACATAAGGCGATGAAAAAGCACTGGCTTTTTAGCACTGTTGAAAGGGAGAATAGAAGTACTTAGCAGTATACTTTCTGGTAGATGTCAGTCCAATTTCAAGTTTTTTCTGCTTGTGGATCTTTCTTTTGCCAGGTGACTAATACAATTTTCATGTGTGGTGACTAAAACAATAGTAAATACCTTATAGCTTTGCAATTAATTGTGGAAACAGTGAGACTGCTTGAAAACAGTATTTCTCCAAAGCTCCATGTCATACTTGAATTTGTTTCAAATTTACAGTTGTTATAAATTCCTAGATTATAGAAGGGTTTCTGTGGTACCATTTTTAAGTGGCATATTATATGAGAATTAGCATCTGCAGTGGTATTGTCCAAGACAAATAGATGTAATTAAAATACTACTAACTCTTATCTATGTTACAGACATGGTAGTCTGTGCCACTGCTATTTTAATAGGGTTCACTTAAGTTTATTAAAACCACTTAGTACTTGTCAATGGAAGCATAAATTCCATTGGTTATACCTGGTTGTTTTTTGGATGTTACTTCAGCCCTTTACCTGAAAAACAGCAGTTATTGAGTGCATGAAAAGTGACAAGTAACTACAAAAACATACCAGCATCTACTACCCGAAGTAATTTCAAGTTCACAGGAATTCCTGATGGTGATCTTGATCTGTAGTTGCTAGTGATACCGTATTTGGTCTTAGTGTCATATTGCTCGATTATCCATAGCGCATGTATAGGTACCTCCTGGATCCTGTTGGCAAATGTATTTGTAAGAGACTTGAGGTGTTCATAATAGATTATAACTATGGCTTTATCTGATAATATAGATGGGGTAAAAAAAAAAAAAAAAGCCTTGCAGAAGAATCTGTGGTCATGGTTCAAATCTCAGCCTCAAATATGAAAGCAACTCATGCAAATAAAATGGTAAACATTGTTTCACATAGTATAAGGAATTAGGAATATGTAAATTATCTTTGGAGTTACATCAATTGCTCTTAATTGTGGTAAGGGTTAAAACATGCATAGCTTTCAGGTGGTGACAGCTTGCTACTTAAATCTGCCTGCTACTAAAAGACATTTATGTCTTAAAACTTCATATAAGGATGATTTTAATTTTCTCAAGTGTGGTACTTTAGTTTTTAAATGTGGGGGGTTTTTTTGCTATTTCAAAATTCAAATTAGACCCTCAGACTAGAAGTTAGTTGTTGAATGAACATAATCATAAGGCAAGATCTTTCTCTGCTTAGAGAGTATCTTCTAAATAAGCAGGCTGGGGTGTTTTAATTTTTTTCAAAATGAAAGTGACTCAGCAACTGCACCCATGATTAACAAGGTGCATCATATATTTGACTTATTACTGCAAAGCTTTAGTGAATTGCAGTGTAAGAATACATAGAGAAATGCTAAAACTGGTAGTATTCAATGCCTGGCTATCAATGCTTGTATTATGGCACTTAATAATCCTGCATGTAGTTGGCTCATTTTAACAGAAGATGGCATTTCCTTGATCACCAATAAATACAATACATTCCTCTTTTAAATTAGGTACTTTCTTAATCTAGGGTCCCTAAAGCAGTGAGGGGACAGACACACCGCTGTACTGTGCCTCTCAGTAAGCTGATTCCCTACGGGTCTCTCCTAGTGGATTTCCTGGCAACTTCCAAGATAAGGTAACTTATTTTCAAGAGGGTTGTTCAGACCTAATCCCTGCTGAATTTTTGTAACTTGTGGTTTTGTATAGTTTGACAAATGTGGGTTCTGTAAGATCTTAGAAAATAGATGTTTATTTTAAAAGATGACTAACAGCGGAGGGGCTTGTGGTAGCAGAGATTATTTATGTACAATTTTACCTAATGTTTCTCTTGTCTGCAGAGTGTCACCTAATTGAAGTAAGAGTTCTCCTCACTGACCTTTCTGTAGAAACCATTTCTTCACGGCTCTTTGAACCCATTTGCACTAAGTACACCAGTTATTTTAGCTGACGGTGTTAAGGTTACTCGAATGCAGGATTCTCGCCAGCGTTAAAGGCTGCTGAATTACTACCAGAAAGCAAACGTACTTGGAGACAAGATGCGCACAAAAATGAGGAAAAGGACAGAGTAAGTCGCAGGCGAAATAGCTGGAAAGGTTTTTGCAAGCGCTGCTGGTCGTGGCGGTGAATTGGCAGAAGCACGTATTTGCCAGGCAGGTTTTCAGAGCCGCTTTGTGCTCCTGCGTCCTCCCTGGTGTCCGAGAGCAACGGACAGGACCCCCCGGCACGCACTTTGCTGCTCGCTCGGCTCCGCCCCCCGCCCCCCGCAGCAGGCACCGCCC